ATGATTTGAACTGGGGAAATGAAGGTCAGGATTGTAAGCTATCCAGTATCTATTCATGGATGAAGCTAACAAGCAGTTCTGTTTAGCAATAAGAAGTGAGCCTGACTGCAACAATGATATCTGCACCAGGGAACCCAGGAGGGGAGGGAGGTCAGACTCTCTGCAAGAGGTTTCCATCAGCTGCAATATTTTTAAATGCAGAGATTACACTGTTGTGAAGTAGGATCTGATAAAAACTGCTTAACTTTAAGTGGTGCTTCATAGATCCTTAACCAATCTTCCCTCTCCTCTTGAGGTAGCTGAGTGGGCAAGAATTTTGGATTATGCTGCACATTCTTAATAATGGCATGTAACATTGTAATGGAATATGTATGTCACATTTCCACCCCAAGTAAACTCTTCAACTTAAATCTTTAGGTTATTTCAGTTTTTATCATTATTTAGTTTTTTATATTCTTTGTTTTCAATAGCAGCATTCGTGGACTTAAATATTGTCATTGTGATCTTTGTTATTCAGAAACCTGTTTTTGATTCCTTCTTTTAAAGCTTCACAGAAGTTCAAAAAAGGCTCCAACGTAAGAAAGAAACGTAAAGCGCCATGTTCAAGTTATGGTAATCAAGGCAAGTTAATGAAGGCAAAGCGAAAATTAAGTCAGTGTGGATCAGAACCAGCCCTTGAACAAGGTACATTTGACTTCTGCTTATAACATTTAGTCATCTAATTAATAAGCCTATGTATTTCCTTCTACAAAGGAAGTGAGGACCACTTGAAGCAATGAAAGGAAAATTCCTTGACGTTGTCAGGGTTCCGAATTTAATCCCTGTTGCCATGCTAACTGAGCTACAAGGCCAGATATTTGTAGGTGTACCCAGCTCCATACCCTAGAGTTAATTATCTAATTCTAATTCTCTCCTCGCTTCTTTTCTCTATTATATATACTTTTTGGACACAATGCCATGTTTGTTTTGGATGCTGCAGTTAAAAACGAACTTTCTTAGTAGACTACCCCCTACAATATACAAATGCCCAATTCCAATCACAATGAGTACCAAAAGAATCCAGATCATGCATACTTAACAGGTATCCATGGTCGCGTGTCGATCAATAGTCTCGATCGATACCCTTGATCAACATCTTGAGCAATACTCAATTGACATCCTGATCGATACTCAGTCGACACTCTATTGACACTTGATCAACAGTCGGTCGATAATTGGGCGAGTGTCGATCAACTTATCTGAATGGATTGAAAATTTGGTCGACTCTCGACCAAGGTGTTCATGGAGTGTCCATTGAGTGTCAACTGAGGGGTCGATGGAGTGTCGATTGAGTATCGATCAAGGGTTGATCGAGGGTATCGATCATGGGTATCATTCGAGGGTATCAATCAACACTTGACCGCAGATGCCTTTAGTACACACATGATCCAAAAATTCTTGGGGAGTGGGAAAGAGGCAATTTCTTTGTATTTTTTAAGGGCCAGTTGCTTCACCTGCACTGCGAGGGAGTTCAATACCTCCATATACTCCCTCACTCACCCCTACATGAAGTTAACATTACCAAAAAAAAGTTAACAGGTTTTTGATAAGGTCTTTTCTTATGTTATCATATTGTGTCCAAGTGACAAACATATTGACATATGAAGCACATGTGAATTTGATCAGGAACTAGCATGGCACTTACTTGAGGTACCTTTCCTAATACTCTAATAACCTTAATAATAGTACTCTGTCCTTCAGACTTTGCACCAAAAAGGGTAGCTTTCTTCACAGCAATTCACAATTAAAATGTCTAGTCCCTGACTGATGACTAAGCCAATAATATTTCCCTAAATTGTAATATGAGATCTGCCAAATTTGATTAATTTTAAATCACATTAAAGTGCTACTATGATGAAATTCGCATCTTTCTTATCTAAGCCATTTTAAAACATAAACAAGTAGTCTGTATGAGAAGAAAAAATGCTGTTTACTATTTTCAAATATCACTTTTCGTTCCAGATTTATTCTAGTTTTCAAAATATGCAAATTAGCCAAGTGATGACGTCATACACTCAACCAAAATTTGAATAAATATGATGAAGAAAGATATCTCAGCCAATTTGGATCAGAAATGTTTGATTCTTTGCAGTAAGATTCTACTAAATGTGCCCCACAATATATATGAGCTTAGCAGTCTTGTTACCATGGCAACATACTGGGTTCCAGACCTTCTCAATATTAAAGGCCTTTCTGGCGACCTTTGACGTTCCATTTGGATATTTGCTCATGCAGGTGCCTCATCTGCATAATCCAGCCAGCATTTAAATATGTTAGGTAGAGTTCCTTGTCTCTTTAATGTTTTTCACTCTAAAAATCACTAACATATCAAAATCAAGTACGTGAGGACTGGAACATGAAATCAAGTAAGTGGGGACTGATATGAATTTAATCCAGTCATGGCTGGCAACATACAAATTAACTCTAAATGTCAAGAAAACTAAGTACATGCTCAAAGGGAGTAAATTAAAGGTATCCCAAATACATAATAATTTTTAATTACAGTCAAAGTCCATAATACACCACTAGATAGGGTAAGCAAACAAAAATCTCTTGGAGTTCACATTGACGAATCTCTCCAGTGGCGCCCACATACAAATGCTACCTCAAAGAAACTTTCCGCTGGTGTTGCAATCTTATTGTAGGCACCGTCTGTCTTCTCAATAATCATTGGCTAAAAGCCTACAGTTAATTCTGGGAAACAGCGCAACCTACAGATTATTCACTAATCTGCTAGCAGATTAGGGAATAATCCGTAGGTTGCGTGCGCAATGCATGATTTCCAAGAACAATGCTAAGTTCACGTAAGAACATGGCTTGTTGAAAATAAACTGTGTTCAGTGCGATAATTCGTTTGTCGTTATTTTCTTTAAAACAATATATGATAAAACAATTATGAGATTTGGTTTTTGTGATTTCCGAAATAATCAAGGTCTCGGTTAATGTTATCAGCCTCAGCCGTCGGCTTCGGCTGATAACACTTACCTCGACCTTGATTGTTCTGGACATCACAAAAACTCACCCAATAATTGTTTATTAATAACGCAACACAAATAAAGAAACAGACTTTGCCTAATTGAAAGTACACAGAAATGACCAAGAGTGATAATACACATCATAAGTAACTACACCTGTTAATTATTTCCACCATTCTAGCTATCTGCTGTTCCAGGTTTCAGTTCTTGTTTACTGCGGTTGTTTTGCAACAATTTTGACACAGTTGCCTTAGGTACTTACGTTTGACTAGAGTGGAAAAAACGCGGAAGTTATGTTTCTGGATTCGTTATCTGTAAAGATTAGGGCTCCAACAGCCATTAATTTGTTGTTTCTACTCTTCCTCAAGATGACAGCACCGTAGGGCTTACGATCCCCCTGACGAGTAAGTTCATCATACGTTCAAGGGCTTCATGAATTTGATACTGCGTTGAAACGGTCTCTAATCGTTTCAGCTCCAGCGCTATCACCGAAAAGTTTGTTTGCCCAGGACCATCACCTACAAAATAACACTTTAAGTCCTCACCAGGTGCGATTCCTGTGTTGGCAACTATTTATGGTCGATAATCAAAAATGCTTTCATCTTTGTGGCATTTCTTGGATGGGTTGATGGGAATTACAAC